CACTCTTCCGCGTTTCTCTTCCTCTTTTAACTTTTACTTGCTTTCAATCAATCATTTTACGGTATACATTTAACCGCTAAATGTCGAGCTGTCAATACCGAACTCGCGATTTGTATTTGCGTACGTGAGATACGCCATCGATAACCAATCATCATCGCGGAAAAACGATAACGATAATTGCGAGATAAAATCGACATCGTTTCACCGAAATTGGATATGTAACTAAATTAATTTGAAATTGAATAGAAGCGCGAAACACAATTTATAGTTTGTCGTAAAATTTTGCAAAAAAAGATTTGTTACTATTTTTTTTTTTTTCTTATTCCAATCGCCGTGAGAGAAACCGCATTTGCGATTTTGTATTTTCGCAAATGCAGAAGTTTTCGTATTATACATAATCCGAAATTAATGTCGGATATATCTCGCCTCTTAGGCACGTCCTCCATTCGTTGAATATGTATGAGGAGTTAACGGAAACGTACTTTAATAGTACGAAAATACGTTCATAATCATTACTGTACTACGTTTTCGCTGAATAGCATAATACGCGCCGCCGTAAATCGCATATTACTCCACCGGATCTATTCAGAATTCAATTAAATCTGAGTTTTCGTAATTTATAGTCGCAAGAAAATGTCAGATTTCATTATTTGAGAATCGTGAAATTCTAATCGTGCAGTCGTAAATTTGTATGGCCTCACGTAAATATAAACGCGAAGTAAATTAAATTTTGACAGATGCGTGCATCGTACGCCAAAGACAAGTAAATTATGAGTCTGACAAACTATCCTACGATATAAGTAGTCTGCCCCCCCTTTTTTTCTACCACATCCTTTTTTTCAGAGAATAAATCGTTGCGGCTAAAGTAAGTATGCTGATTTCCACGACGTTCCGCCATCGACGAGAGCGAAAAACACGACTCTGGCCGTCTGCCAAATATCCGCGGGCACTTTTATGAATTACTAAAAATTTCCTACGTATTGTTAATGGCTGTCCCGAAAAGTGATTCGAGCCAAGCGACGTCATATCGGGAGACTCGACAGTCTAATATAGGACGCGACAGAGGTGAATTACAGTGGCAAAAGGATCGCAATTTCGATCGTATTAATTACATATTATAGAAATTGAAATTACATAAGTGAGATATTACATTCTCGCTTTGCTCAAGTACGCTTTACGAGTGTTCTCGCGCATTTCTCGAACGTGTAACACGCGTCTCGAAGCTGCGTGCGCGGTAGCCCACAATGAAACAAAGGGCTTTACCGGCGTTTGGTCACACTATCCTGCATGGGCGATCCAATGGACAAAAGGACTCGGTCTCTGTATGCACACAGGAAGTCTCATTGTATCTGTTTAGCCGACCAGAGTACACGCGCATTTGCAAATGGCTTACCAGCTTGGGCGGCCTACTGCTAGATTCATCCCTTTCAACGCGAAATTATTCCCCTTCCTTGGCGAACGTCCCGGAGATAAAGCCAGCTCGGCGTTAATTTAAAGTACGTCACGAAAGTGCGTGAAACGTCG